AGCATGACAACGGAGAAATTCGTCGTCAGAATAATATAATAGATTAATCAATGAATAAAATGTGTCCTTTCGTCTTCATCTTCATATATTTCCTTTTATTTGTATATCCATTTTCCTTGGCTGTGTCTTTCCATTCATTATCAAATCATTCATTCCATCCTCTCATTCTATTAATATACTTAATTATTTATGTTTATTTTTTCATTTAATCATTAATTTATTCTTTTTTCTCTCTTGATGCAATCGGTTGTGTCTCTTTATTCTCTATTTAGCTATTCATTTCATTCGTGTTCTCATCACCGGCTTTGTGCTAATGTGTCCTCGCTTATGTAGCCGGCAGACGGTCTGGGTGGTATCTGCAACGGCGTTATTGCCAGCGCCCAAAATCCCCCTCATATGTGAAGGGCATTTCATCCTCTTCCTCAATCCTCCTTCTCCTCTTCATCCACCTCCTCTTCCTCAATCCTCCTTCTCCTCTTCATCCACCTCCTCTTCCCCTCCTCGTCCCTTTTCCCCTCCCCTTCTTTCTTCTTATTATTATTGTTATTATTATTATTATTCTACTTTTTCTCTTTTTTTTTTCTTCTTCTTCTTCTTCTCTTTTTCTTCTCCTCCTCCTCCTCCCCCTCCTCCTCCTCCTCCTCTCCTCCTCCTCCTCCTCCCTCCTCCTCCTCCCTCTCCTCCTCCTCCTCCCTCCTCTCCTCTCCTCCTCCTCCTCCCTCTCCTCCTCTCCTCCCTCCTCTCCTCTCCTCCTCCCTCCTCCTCTCCCTCTCTTCTCATCCTCATCCTCGTCCTCCTCATCCTCATCCTCCTCCCTCTCCTCCTCCTCCCTCTCCTCCTCCTCCTCTCCTCCTCCTCTCTTCCTCCTCCTTCTCCTCCCTCCTCCTCCTCCTCCTCCTCCTCCTCCTCCCTCTCCTTCTCCTTCCCTCCTACTCCTACTCCTACTCTTCTTCCTCCTCCTCCTCACTTTCACATCTTCCCATTTTTTCTTCCTCTTCTAGACCATAAAGACCCTTTCTTGACCTTCTAACCTTTCGCTCCTTTGACCTTGCCTTTCCCTTCCCTCCCTCCTCCTCACCCTCCCTCCTCCTCCTCCTCTCCTCTTCTCTCCTCCTCCTCCTCTCCTCCTTCTTCTTCTTCTCCTACTCCTATTCTTCTTCCTCCTTCTTCTCCTCTTTCTCTTCCTCTGCTTCTTCTCATTACTCCGTTTTCTTCTTCGTCTTCTTCTTCACTATCATCATCGTAATCCTCTTTCTCCTTTTCCTCCTCTTCCTTGTGCTCTCTCTCTCTCTTTCTCTTCTCTTTCTCTTTTTCTTCTCTTTCTCTTTCTCTTTCTCTCTCTCTTCTCTCTCTCTCTCTCTCTCTCTCTCTCTCTCTCTCTCTCTCTCTCTCTCTCTCTCTCTCTCTCTCTCTCTCTCTCTCTCTCTCTCTCTCTCTCTCTTTCTCTTTCTCTCTCTCATTATCATCATCATCAATATTTTCTTCCTCTCCCCCCTTTCCCTACCCTGTCCTTCTCTCACACCTTCCACTTCATTCTTATCGTCCTCTCTTTTGGCTCCCTTTTATTCTTTTTTTTCGTCCTTCTCATAGGCCTATCTCATCTCTCACTCAAGCGAATGTTCACGAATAACTCGCCGCGCTTGTTCATCTTCGTTATTTTATTTATGTATTTTTTATGTTTTTGGTTCTTTTTCGTCTTTTTTTTTCTCTTGTTCTTTTTCTTTTTGTGATGAATGAGGGATAGGAGAGGAGCGGATGAATTAAGAATTATGGAGAGATTATTTAAAAATTCGAGATCGCGGAAAGAGGCAGGAGGTAAAGTAATGAGAATTAAGGGAAGGAGAAGAAGGAGAATGTCAATATTTAAGGAGGAGAGAAAGAAGAAGAAGAAGGAGACGAGGACGGCGACGATAAAGAAGAATAAGAATAAGAATAAGAATACAAGAACGGCGACGATAAAGAAGAAGATGAGGACGACGACGACGAAGAAGAAGAAAAAAAAGAGAAGAAAAAGAAGAAAAAAGAACAAGAATAAGAACCGAAAGTCCAGTTTAATATCAATAACTTTACCCGAGAAAGATGAGCTCTGCCTTTCTGTAAAAGATATGGCTTTTGCAACCAGACATAACCGACTTTTATTTGTCATGAATAAATCCATCTCTTCTTTGCCGTTGTAAAAAAAAAAAAAAAAAAAAACGGCCAGGCAGCCCCTCCCGGAGTGCGTTCGCGTAGTGCGCATGCGAACGCCCATGCGGATTCAACTCTCAATTCCCCGGACTCGCCAGGTCATTGTTTTGGATCTTGAGTGGGTGCGGATTCGGTCCTGATCCCACACCCACTTCTGACGCCACAGACATCATCCCTCTTGTGGTTATCTCTTCGTTCTTTGTTCGTCTATCTGTGTCAGTCTGTCTGTCTGTCTTCCATCTCTCTGGCTCATTTTCTTTCTTTTTCGTTCCTTCACTCGTTCTCTCTTTCTTTTTTTTTCTCTCTCCTCCTCCTTCCACCCCATCAATCTCTCTCTCTCTCTCTCTCTCTCTCCTCTCTCTCTCTCTCTCTCTCTCTCTCTCTCTCTCTCTCTCTCTCTCTCTCCTCTCCTCTCCCTCTCCCTCTCCCTCTCTCCCTCTCCCTCTCCCCTCTCCTCTCTCTCCCTCTCCCTCTCTCCTCTCCCTCTCCTCTCTCTCTCTCTCTCTCTCTCTCTCTCTCTCTCTCTCTCTCTCTCTCTCTCTCCCTCTCCTCTCCCTCTCCTCTCCCTCTCCCTCTCCCTCTCCCTCTCCCTCTCCCTCTCCCTCTCTCTATCCCCCCGCATCATCGCCGTTGTCCTTCGTCTAGGATCTTCTGCGAATCAAGTGCTCAATCACCCACGCCCGCCCCCCCCCCCGGACAAACTGCCTGGGCGCTCTTACCCCCTTGCTCTCTCTTTCTCTTTCTCTCTTTCTTTCTCTTTCTCTTTATTTCTCTTTTCTCTCTTCTTTTCTCTTTCTTTCTCTTTCTCTTTTTCTCTCTTTCTCTCTTTCTCTTCTTTTCTCTTTCTTCTTCTTCTCTTTCTATTCTCCTTTTCTATGTCTTTCACCTTCTGTTTCTTTTTCTTTCTTTTTCTTTTTGGTTTTCTCTTCACGTGTATTTTTTTCTCTTTAATCTGGCTCTTTTTTCTGTTTCTTATTCTCTTTTTCTCTCTTTCCCTCTTTCTTTTTTTCACTTTTTCTCTTTTTCTTTTTCTTTTATCTGTTTTCCTTTCTCTTTTTTTTCTTTCTTTCCTCTTCTCTTTTTCTCTTCTCTCTCTCTCTCTCTCTCTCTCTCTCTCTCTCTCTCTCTCTCTCTCTCTCTCTCTCTCTCTCTCTCTCTCTCTCTCTCTCTCTCTCTCTCTTTCTCTTTCTCTTTCCTTCTCTGTTGCTTAAGGCAGTCAATTTCTGTTTTAATTATATGCGTTTTACTATCTCTTGTTGATTTTCTTTCTCTTTTTTGTGTCTATCTGTCTGTCTGTCTATCTTTCTATATACTGAATATTTAACTGTTGTTAAGGCCTTCACACACACACACACACACACACACACACACACACACACACACACACACACACACACACACACACACACACACACACACACACACACACACACACACACACACACAACACACACCACACACACACACACACACACACGCACACGCACACACGCACACGCACACACATACACACACACACACACACACACACACACACACACACAACACACACACACAACACACACACACACACACACGCAATACACATACACACACGCACACGCTGCAAAAATTTTAGCAAACACAAAAAATATCGTGTCCTCTAAGCTGACAGGACATTGTTTTACAAATAGAATGTCAATTGAAGGTAAACCGAGTCTTTTCTGGGCATGGGGGGTGAGGGAGGGGGTGAGGGGGGTATATGGTATCCATGGCTTATGTATATATTTTTTTTTTTTGAAATTAATTTGTTCTGTTTATTTGTGTCTTTTTGTGTGGCTGTGAAAATGTCGTTTTGTGTTCTAAAGTTTACTTTTCCACTCTCTCTCTGTCTCTGTCTCTTCTGTCTCTGTCTGTATGTCTGTCTGTCTGTTTGTCTGTCTCTCTCTTCCTCGTCCTCTCTCTCTCCGTCTCGTATCTCTCTTC